ATACAGTTGGTATAGAGTAGATTGTCCATAAATGTTCTTCGTTGTAGTCTTTGTTCAAAACTAAGTAATAACTGAAAACAGTATTCATAAGGCTAAAATAAAATATGTGAGGATGTAATTGTAAGATCTAAACTAAGGTTTGGACTGAAGAATAGCTGTTTAAGTGGGTTAGATACGCGTCTTTGCCCGGTTGAAGCCAAAACAATGTAATTGGGTAAAATGACGGTTCTAATATTCATCATAAATTTAAATGTACATCTTAACCTAAACAAATATGACCACCCAGCTATCCAACCAATAATTGTTCAATTAATCAAATCTAAATTCCAATAAATAAGGAAGTTGATAAAATATGCGAGAAAATTACCAACCACAACAAATAAATATTGTTCTATTTTGTCTGGATAGATCACGCACAGATTCGTTCAAAAGATAATATTTGGTTGCTTTATAACACAGAGTGTTTCCAGTTCTGGAAGAGTGCTTTAATTCGCAATCAGAAATGTACAATGCCAGTCGATACAAACAACGCAATCAAGAGGCGAGACAAACTAATATGGCTGCTGCCAAGACTAAGTATCAAGCAAAACAACACAAATACAGTTCAGGAAGAAACACGGAAACTTAATGAAGGCGTAAGAAAAATAAAAACTATAATAAAATACAAATATTAACAACTCAAATAAAATCAAAAAGACAAACAATGTACAACTAAAGGAATACATAGGGACAAACTGCATGTGTTTACATGGAGGGATTTTCACACACAAGACATTCAAAATGGATCTTACACCAGCCCGCAAAATCCCTCCATACAACACAAGCCACCTTAACGCCTGTGGTCATGGTTCATTCCATTACATATTCTACACTAGAGGAATGAGCAGGACTTACAACAGTACGCCTACTCGACCTACCTACACTGATAATGACTAAGAACTCATTCGAACCTTCATAAAGACATACTTCACCTGATCAGTTGAAGTCTGTTCTCTGGTGACCAACAATATCAGTCGGCCTACAGACCTAATCATCCTTCTCCAAACTCCACCCCTGTGGCTGGATGAGGACGGGTTAAAATGCCATTGAATCTGCCTCGATGACAATTCATTACTTGTCTTCTTCTGATTCAACTGTTGCACAAACCTCCTTGGTTCAGAGACTGCACCCACAAAGCTTGACCCACTGTCACTGTAAATCTCTGGAGGTCTCCCTCTTCTTCCAATAAAACGTAATAAGGCCATTATAAATGAATCAGTATTTAAACTATACGTCATTCCAACATGTACTGCTCGTGTTTGCAAACAAGTAAATATACGTTCATATCTTCTTCTAATGACTTTCCTCTTTTGACTAAAAAGGATTCAAAGTAGTCTACTCCTACCGCTGAGAAGCTATACCAGCCTTGTTGCATTCTACAAGCTGGAAGCGGCGCCATCAGTTGTTGTCCTGGATTCATCGTAAACCGCCGGCATGTCATGCACTTTCCAATCACTCTCCTAACCGTGCTGGTTCCTTTTACTATCCAATAGCTTTTTTGAATTGTGACCAGTACTTGAGACGTTCCTGTGTGCCCTTGTTCTTCATAATAATGCCTAATCATTATTTCCGTCACTAAGTGTCGAGTGGGTAAAATTGTTGGATGTTTAAAAGTATTTGAGAAATCTGAGTAGCTTAGTCGACCTCCAACACCGAGTAACCCATCAAGCATTATCGGTGATAAACCCTTCAGATCATTATGACTAACTACTTTACTGCTGTTTTTAAATTTGTAACAGCTCAGGTTGGTTGAAGTAGATTCTTCTTTACTTTTTACTTGAGGGCGACTAAAGAGGCAGGTGAGTAAACACCTGATAGCCGGTCTGAGCATGGAAAAATCGTACCTCACCAACATGGTGTTGGGTAGCCCGCTCGCGGCACTTCCTCAGATATTCTTATTCCACATTCTCACACTTTCTCTTGAAAGCACGCAGTAAACCGTCAGCGATAGTTGTAGAATAGATCACATGCTACAAAATAAGATGACAAGCTAGTAAATGAGGAGACATCCATGGATTATCGTTGACAGCGTTAGTCGTCACTGATTGTAAGTCAAATAGTGAGCGAGTTGATAATTTTCCCTTGGGATGAGTAATAGAACTAAGGTGTTTTCGATACATAGGTTAATCGAACCGACGTTCCTACGGAAGTCGATTCTAGGGGGAAGCTAATGTAACAGCTCAGGTTGGTTGGTTAAGAGTTGACCTCAAACAACCAAGCTTATTCCAAAACAGTATTGTTCAAGTATTCATTCACTTCCTTATTTTTTATAAGCGTTATATTCCCTATTATCTTGAATGTTGAGAGCCTTTGTTTGTCTGAACAGATGATCCCACGCTCCACTGTGACTGCGCGAAGATCGAAATAAAGACCTATTCACTACTTGTCTGGCTTCTTCTATCAATAGCACGAGGGTTACTTCAAGGCACGAAAAATTCACTAAGTAATTCTCCATACATTTCTTTCTGAACCATCATTATAATTTTGCGCTTGGCAATGTCAAGCTCTTTGACCTTTCAACACCCTAGATGAACGGATCCTTCACGACTCTGTGAACGAAGTACCACTAGGAATTCTAAGAACCTTCTAAACAGGGCTACAGCACTGATTAATTTCAACCACTCAGAATAATAAAAAAGAATAGGTGACAGGTTGTACTTTGTACTACTCTAGTTAACCACAGCAGTTTTCTGAACTCAATATTGTCAGGAGTAAGTTCCGGACAGTTAGTAATTGTTATACAAAAATCGCCATGCAGTACAGTAGGATATTTAGACCAAGATTCAAGATTGGTCATTTTTTGTATACCTCTCGGGGTCCAAGCAGCTGGATTCTGTGACGACTTTACATAACTCCGCTGTTAAACCTTCGTATACTGGTGAACAACAGCGAGGCGGTTGGCTATATAGGTGCTATATCGGTTTTTGATGTTCTTAATGTAGTATAACACTATCATGGAATCTGTAAGGAAGTTCACATCGCAGAAAAATTTGGGCAGACCCCTTCGTAAGACTTCACTGGGCCTTACACAACAACTCTGCGCCATCTCAAGCCTCGGTATTGTAACTTGTTTGATAAGTGCTACCCTAGAGTTGCTGTACAACAAGATACTGTATAGTGGTTTCTTCAAATAGCTAACTCGTGCGTACGCAAATGCTCCATAACCAATCTCGAAGCATCACTGAACAGGTGCAATTCTACTTCCGCGTCGGGTTCGTCGATTCTCCTCTTGATACCCCGAGCTACCGTAACATGACCTATCTGACGCATAAAATTTACCCAATTTAGCCACGTGGACACGTATGGCTCGTTGAGAGGCTGATCCCAGCCTATTTGGGATTTACATAATTTTTGCAAGAGGAGTTTGACAGTAAGGCAGACTGGAGCAATTAGAACCAAAGGATTGAACAGAGAAGAAGCTACAGATTGAACCCTTCTCCTAGTCAAAGGCTTTTCTGGTGCATCGAAGTAAAACTTAAATACATCTTGTTTGAAATCCCATTCCACACCTGGAATTCGATGGGTGGTATCATAACTCGTTGACATTCCCATCAAAGACTCTTCTTTACATACATCAGACAAGATGGTTCTTACTTCATCCGAGTTGTTGGTCCATTTCTGTAATTTAAAACCTCCTCTATATAATAATTCACTTATCTGCTTAACGAACTTCTTTGCTTGATCACAAGTGGAAAAGGATATCAAAAAACTATTAACATAGAAATTGTTCTTGACAGCATCTACGACATAACGATCATAACCATCAGAGAATGTTTTGGGCTGTCTTATTCATGGTACAGTTAGCACAAAACGGCGATGAAGTGGCACCAAAAGGATGTAGGGTCATTTGAAACTCGAATGGTTCCCTCGACATGTCTCCCTCCTGCCACCGCAGAAATCTTAAAGCTCCTCGATCAGACTCAGGAACCTTCACTTGTATGAACATTTCCTCCACATCTGCAGAGATTGCAACTGCCTCCTTGCGAAAACTCAATAATATACACACTAGCCCAGCAGTGGTGTCAGGTTCTTGATAAATCCTATCATTTAGGGAAATCCCCGCTCTAAGTTTTTCTGACTTTTTCGGGTTTAACACTCCCTGATGAGGTAAATACCATCGGGGGAGATAACTAGGCTACAACTGTATTTCACAGACCTTCTCCACATAGCCCTTAGTAAAATTACTTTCGGAATATCTGATGGGCAGACTGTCATCCTTCAACAACTTACGCTTCAAACTCTGTAATCTTCTGTTTGCATGACTTAGCCGTGCCATACCGATTGGGTCTTCCGCGTCCACCACCTCTGGCCCTCACCAGATGTTGTATGTTGAATATAAATCTTCTCAGTTTCTGTCATTAAGTCTCGAAGAACGTGTGGTTGGGAGTCAAAAGAGCGACAGCAAATGAATGGCAAATACATGCAATAATTTCAAAATGTTTGGTTTATTCCCTAACACATTCGAAATCAAAATGCACGTGTAGATTGTCTAAGAGTTAAACAAAGTGGGATTATGATGAAGAAAAATGACTTAGTAAACAGAAATTTTGTCAAATCACATTAAGATACCTGCCAATAAGTGGTAAGTAATAGTTTAATTTATGGGCTATACAGATATATCTTGCGTCGAAATGTCGATACTAACACTACTTTTCGTTCAAACTAGAAGGCTAATTCATGATAACGCCGTTATACTGTCTAGTGTTTCTCATCAGATAATGTATATACATCAGTGTGACTGAAAATCTCATCAAGATTCATTCGACATAGATTTATTTTGTTATAATGCATAACTTAAAGCCACTTATTGTGAGCGTCTCTTTATACCATTATTTATTTGGTGTACGTGACTGCTGTTTATAATATCTGCAGATTAACACAACTAAAGGCTTCAAATCACCTTTTTGATTTTCAGAAACAAAACTTCCACGTTCACTATCTTATAAACATTCAAACATAAAATGGAAGGTAGAAGGTAAGTTTTGAAGAATTGTTCGCTATTGTTACGCTCAATCATTTTCGACTGATCTAATTAACATTTTCATACTTTAAACTTCAGGAGATCATGCTGGTAAGCTTATGATGTGAAAATCTGAATTATTAGGTGAATGATCAGTTACTAAGCTATTTAGATCCCTGATAGCTAGTTTTGTTTTAAAACCCAAACTAGTGTTCTCTTACACATTATCTAACTAAACCGAATGATTTTTGGACTTTATATTGTCTTTAATACACTCCTTGGCGCTCTTTTTTGTGTGTGCACTTAAAATTACAAATCTCATTTTTCAATACCGAAAATGTATATGAAAGTAGCTATAGTTGTGCTAACGTTGGCTTTCGTTCATTTGTTTTACCAGTTTTTTGCGTATACGTGATATCTGCTTGTTAGCTGTAATTAAACGAAATCAGACGGTAACATCACTCCTGCGTTTTTTAAAACTTCCCAGCATCCATCCGACTGGCAATACTTGGGCTTTGGGAAATACAAATGAATATATCTGATGAAATGTTATCTTCATTATTTTGCAAAACACAAGCAATTACTTAATTTTGATTCTCTCTTTTTTTCGCTACTAAATACGTTTTCAAATCTACGTCTGCGGGTCTTTCTAAGCACCTTTCAGGTATTTAGTTCTTATTCATTTCTCTCGTTGTAATGTCTTTGTGGTTCATTTGGCAAACCTCTGTGATCCAACTTTCTTTTGAGTGCCTTGACAGATGGAGATTCAGTCACTTGTCCAGGTAGCGAGTTGTGTTCAGTGATAGTTTAAAGGGAAAGTTTATAGTCAACTGACAGGTAATTTTTTCTGGACATGTGTACATTTCTAGTGTCCTCGTTAATTCTTTATTTTGGAAGATTAAAAGGTGAGTGCACTCCAGATCCGTAATTTCCATTAAGCAATTTGAAAATTGCCACCTCTTGTCCTCCTATATGACGAGATAAGTAGTTTTCGTCCAGCCGGTCTCTCGTCATACAGGAGCTTGGCGGTTCCATGGTCCACCTCATTTTCAGTTCTTTGAACCTTTTTCAACAACACTGTTCTTTCTAGTTAAGTAGTGGCTGCTTTTATGAGATACCTGAGTTTCAAACAAACGAAAACTGAATACAAACAGTGTTTTTTGTATCAACATGGCTAAACGGCTCTACTTACTAACCAAGAGGGTTCTAAAACCTTAGCTGCTATCACACAGCGGTGTGCAGCGGTTTTTAAATATTAGCTGCCCAAGGCCCCTAGATTTTTGTGTTTCTAAACAGAGGGTGATAAAAGTTGATAACTATTTGTTTCTAAACTAATGCTTATTCAAGTCCTGTATTTTTTGAAAGCTAAAAGTCTTGCTGACTGTTTTCGGGATCCTTAGTTATCAACTTTCAGGCAACTACACTACATATCACTTCTAGTTCAGTGGTATTGAAATTAATACACTTGCTGTATTTACAACAATAAGACCACACTAAAAAGGCCAAGTCACTGTAATTTATGACTGATGTTGCTGAAGAATAAAATTAGATTAATTTACATAAACAGTTATTCTACTTCAGCTCCTAGTATTGTTTTCCATTGAATATTCTAGTGAAATCTAAATCAACAATTGAGGAACTGAAGGTTTATACCTTTCAGCTATATTAAAGAACATAAATTGCTTACTTTACGACGATAACGAAGAATAGGCTACGTATGACTGATTTGTGGAATTATTTTTCAAAATAATAGACAGTGCTATAAAAATATGTGCCACTGATATGGTCATGGATTGGCTACGTTATCTGTTTTAATTTATTCACTAAAATTTTAAAATAAAGGATAATTTGTCTAAACACCTAGCTTTAAGCTCACAGATGTATGAATTATTGCCTCAATTTTCTAGTTATTCTTATGAGTAAAGATATTAGTTGTACATGCCACTCTTTGAGCAAATCCGAATATTCGAACCGGGTTTTGTTAGTGATATGAGTTAATCCTATTTGTTTAGAAGAGAACCTTCAAATAATCTCACTGTATTTTGTTTAGGTCAAGAAATGTTTAGTATAATACTTATTTGTATTCTTTGTAGTTTTTTGGTGCATCCATGTTTTGAACATTTTGTTCACTTACAAGTTTTTCATAGCATAATCCATGATAAATGAAGGTTAACGATTCAGGGAAAACATTTCAATTTATCAGTATTGGATATTTTCAGCTTGATGGTGCCTTAAGGTGACTCTCACTTTGTTTTGATGTCTAAAGTTGCTAACGTAATTTTGACAGGAAATTTTGTTCTACTTATGAATCCAAACAAGCCTATTTAAAGGCTTTAGAACTCACTTGCACACTATAACCGCATTATTCACTTAAAACAGATTCTACTTAATCATGGAAAATATATCATTTTGAAATCCGATATTCGGTTTCTTTATTGTTTATAAAGATTTAGTTTCCTAACACTGCATCTAGATTTTTGGGATGCCGAATATATTTCTAAGCGAATGCTATATAATTTTCTATTTTCTTTTTGCTTATAAGGCTTAAAATTAACTTTGTTTTTAGTTAAAACCTTAGGAATTGAGCTCAATATTACCTTTTTGTTGTTAGCTTAGCCGCTTCTAAAATACCATCTGCTCACATAAAACAGTTCGGAAGGGATCCTGCATCCTAAGAACTACGCAAGAATTTCTATCATTTCTGAAATAAAGTTCAGGACATTTTGTTGTTGGAATGGGCATGTTAATGTCGATCTACTATATTACAACCAAATGATTTATGTTTGTATTTATTTTTGTGATCTGTCTATTCTAACGTCCAAATATGATTATTATAGTAGAAAGTATTTTAAAATTGTACTGGGAATCTATGAGAATAAAAGTAAAGAATTACGTGTGATGCTGTGAAGTGGAACCGTGAACTCTGTGGACGCTTTTAAATAACGCTAATTGATTGAAATTAAATTCGTCACTTTTGTTATATTTTCAACTTGAAATCGTTTGAGTTATTCATTTTTTAAAGGCTACTCTATGTGTGTAAATAGATTTCATCTCCATTTTAGTAAACTTTAACCTTCATCAGTTTTTTTAGAATAAGTAAAATCTATTGAAAATTTTATTGTATTTTGATTATTACTGCATGCTTGATTTGTGTTTGTTCGTCTAGTTTTTGATGTAATTTACATTTGCCAACTAATTGGATATTTATGAGAACATTAGAAAACTCATGCTTTGCTTAGAATTTGGTTTTTAGTCATTTGGTTATTAGATCACAAACCTCACTAGTACGTCAGATCGCAAGAGGTTTTTTTGATGAGGCAGGCTAACTTGGCCAAATAGTCATGTGTTGGCAATTAAAATTATGTTTGTTCAAAAGTTTTATGTAATTCTATCCATCAATTTATGTGATTCGACAGATAAGTTAGACGGAATGGCACTTTTTGAAACAGAAAGTGACCATAAAGAAAAACGTGTACAGAAAATAAGGAATAGAAGCGTGTTTTGTTATGTTTGAAATAGTTGTTCAACTACCACAATATCAATCGCTCAAATACTTTGGTTTTTAATAGTATTGGTTCGATTATTGCTTCCTATCCTATTTAGTTATTCAGAAGTATACGTATTCAAATGAACATATTTAAGTCTCTTGATCCATGCCAAAATCATGGATAGTTACTCGTAAATATCTCTGTCAGGTTGATTAGGTTAACGCTTAGCATTGTTAGTTTTCACTGTGTTCGAATTCTATGTGTATGTATTTGAGTTTGTTTACATAATTTATCACTTCTTAGCTTACTGATGTTTTCCAAAGTTTTGAGATAACTAAATTTTTTACTTATATTCAGTAAGGTCAATTTTAAATATTTTGGGTGATATTTGTTACTTTGTCGAAGGTTTGAGCGCCGAGCAACGGAATGGACACCTGGTATGGAAGGTAAATATGTTGCCCGAGGACAATTTACGGGTGAATGTATCGCTGTTCTCACAAGCGGTGGAGATGCCCAAGGAATGAATGCAGCTGTACGAGCTGTAGTCCGTATGGGAATATACTGCGGATGCCGAGTATTTTTCATCAGAGAAGGATATCAAGGTCTTGTAGATGGTGGTAACAACATTCAGGAAGCATCGTGGGCAGATGTTTCTGGTATTCTCCAATTAGTAAGTGTATACAATAATTTATTTCATTATAAATCGCTCATGTAATTGTACTCGTCTTCAGACATGTAATAATGGAACTGTTTCCATCCAACATTTGTTTTTCACTGCTTTAAACGTGGAAACATGGTAGGTGAAACAAACAAACTCATTATACCGATTTAAGCAGGCTTTCTCATTCTTTCTTTGTCGCCTTGATTTGTGGTTTATTGATTTGTTTATCAAAACGCTGAGTGAAACAATAAAGGAGTTTTCAAGATAATCTAGGTAGTTCAAAATACTATGCTTGTGAGATATCGCCCCCAAATTATTTAGCGGATTGTTGTGTATTATCTCTTAAGACTTAAACACGGTTAGTAGCTACATTACACATTTATTTATCAGTAAAAATCATAGTACGATAACACTTAATGAATAATATGTAAACTCATAATAACTTCATGAATCATTGGTAAGGTCTCAGACTATGAAGCTGAATGACGCAGGTTTAAATACACTCAGGAGCATCTGTCCACTGAATATTATAGATACATCTTACTGACTGGTGCCAATTGCCGGAAAATCAAGGCCCCCCATGTTTTTGCCGATTATTTTCAACTTTCCAATACAACAATATGTTGAGTAGATTTGTACTAAACTGAAACGTCTTATGTTTAACTCTGCAATTAATCTTTGTCTTAAGAAAAAAACAACTTTTATGAAGTATTGAAAAGTTCTAAAAGGTTATGTGGATGCTTTTATGATTTTTTCCAAAACTGTATGATGTTAAAGCTCATTGGGAATAAAGTAAATACTCCGAGTCAATGCCTAATGTAGGATATATATGCATGTAATGTTGTGAATGGTCCAGTAAAATCTTACATTTTTCTACAATATCCGTAATCAAGTCTGGAAAATTATGAAACTATTTATTTCATAAAAACCATGAAATAATCTTGTCATTGTTTGGCCTGGACGCGTAAAGTAGGATTGACTAGACTAAAATATCGAAACCTTACCTAACATGTTACTTGATCACGCAAAATCATTTGAGTAGACGCCCGTGTTTTCGTAGACTAGGGTGATTAAATCATCTAACTGGCATCCAATAACTTCAAATCAACATTTGCATGAGTTTCATGGTTTTCGGTGTGAAACTAGAAAACAGATGTTGACTTTCAACATAGTGTTCCCATGTATACTGGGAGTCTACTTCTAAAATGCTAGAAAAACGAGATTCTTTTTTACTTACACCGCTATATGCCTTGTTTCAATGAAACCATTAAAATCAATTTCATTTCTGATATCTCTGAACTTGGTCAAACTCCATTTCTCATCAAAAAGTCCAGAGATTAATATTTCGACACTAATTCATTATCTAACACGATAATTATTTAATCGTGTAGTTTATGTGGGAAGTATCACCACAGGGAAAAGTTTATGACGGGATGATCGCAGCTGTACAACTGTTCAAAACGAGATGGCATTTGACAATTATTTACCCTAAACTAGATAGAAAAAAACAAACTTACGTTAGTCTTCATAAACGTAATTCAGATAGTCTTTACATACCACCTATTGGCTTCACAGATTCACCTTTTCACTTGAAAGATCAAACTGAATTGTTCAGTGTAATTTTGCTAAAGAAATCTTGAAACTATAATTACAAAACGTTTGTTAATTTCATTATAAGAATCTTATCAAAATCTACATACGAGGGAATTAATACTGTAGAAGTGTGAACTATTTTTTATTTGAATTCTGAGTTAAGCTTGAAATGAGTATTCTTTTCATTTAAACATAAAATATATTACATATTAAAAAGAGATAGAGCTGAACTACACAAAGAACAACACAATGGTGTTGTGAGCATGTGCAAGGAAGGAAAATCATGCAGTGAAATTACCTAGAATAACCCATTGTTACATTTAATAAAAATAAAGAGAATCGGAAAAGAAAATTTTCTTTTGGACGAAACTATTTACTTAAGCTGTACATTCGTATTTAGAGTTGCGTGGTAAATATATTTCTTTGAAAGGATAAAAAGGATTGGGGATCCACCAATTGAAGCCCGAACTCTGCGTGCGAAAACGATACATCCAACCTCTGATTCTTCCTTGGCCTAATTCCCTTATGTACAAACAATTATCTCTCATAATTCTCCCCCGTAAATTATTTTCATCCTTCTGTTCTTCCCTAACCACCGGATTATCACACAACCCCATCTGTTGTTTAAAGTCTTGAATCAATTTATGATGCAATCCATATATTGCGTTACATGGTATTTATAGCATACATTAGGACGATACAAGTTGAACAGACTAACGTCTGTTCTATAACTTTACACTGTAAATGAATTTGCGAATTTGCTTACAAACTGTATTACCTTACTTATAGATGTTAATATACATAGTCACCATTCAATGTTAAGTGGAATAAACTGTGAAATATATTTTTAAAATGATGAAAGAATCAAATTTGGTATTATAATTTCATTTATATGTATTATTATAATGTTTAGGGTGGTACCAAGATTGGATCAGCTCGATGTATGGATTTTCGTGAACGTTGTGGACGTTTAAAAGCTGCTGAAAATCTGGTCAAAAATAAAATCACCAATTTAGTGGTTATTGGTGGTGATGGTTCTTTAACTGGTGCTAATCTGTTTCGAGCTGAATGGTCAAATCTATTGGAAGAACTTGTCACATTAGTTAAGTTTTATTACTATATGTATATATGTGAAATTCGCTTATGTTAAAATGAAGTTTACCTTCCTAGCAATAATTTTTAATCTGATTGATGAAGTAATTTTTTTGATTAAGAATAAAGGTTGGACAGTTTTGAATATGGAACACATCCCTAAAGTAGTTGACGTTTTTCGGCTGGCTCTGCACTTTCAGTTTGTGGTTTTACATCGCTAACTGATCACAGCTAGCAAACCACTAAATGGAGGATTCGTCGTAGTATGAGACTCCACAGCAGCACATACTCAAGACCTCTTCATAAGTCAAAACCAGTACCTACAGAATTATCAGTATGTTACTATTTATAGTAATATACCAGGACGCAACAATTCACATTCTCCAACTTCGATCGACTCGTGATTTTCCTTGACTCTTATTCACTGATGCCTGTCTCTAAGCCCACATGACTGAACTTCATCGACTTCATGTGTAAGCAGATACTTGGTAAATACTTAAACATTTACAAATAGGCCACATAAATATATAACATGATCAACACTATTAAATATGCCTGTGCTAATATTTCCTGTAATTTATTTATCACGTACTGATTTGTGCCTCTTTGTTTATGTGAGAGCTAGTAGTACTATACGATTCCCCAAGCCAAAGTGGATCAGGGTTCAGACCTTCAACCTACAATCGGTTGTAAAATTCAAATATTCCAATAGTTGAACTACCATCCCATTAATAATTTTCAGTAGCTAATTAACATTATGTCTTACATGTTATTATTATTACAGGTAAAATTAGTGCAGAAAATGCCAAACAATTTCATCGTTTAAATATTGTCGGTTTAGTCGGTAGTATTGACAATGATTTTTGTGGTACAGATATGACAATTGGTGCAGACTCAGCATTGCATAGAATTATTGAAGCGACTGATGCAATCTCTACTACAGCTCATTCACATCAAAGATGTTTCATTTTAGAGGTGATGGGTAGACATTGTGGTTATCTAGCACTTGTCGCATCTATGGCATGTGAAGCTGATTGGGTATTTATACCAGAAATGCCACCAGCTGATGATTGGCGCGAGAAATTATGTCATAAACTGCGAATGGTAAGTAGTCACTCTTGTGTAGATTTGTTAAAGTATTTCTCAAACAAAATTTACATTGAATGAAAAGATTTTGTGGAGATCCATTAAAATTATTGGGATCGTGTGCTGATGAGGTCATGAATGCTCACTGCATACTAGGACGAAACGGCTGTCTAGCGCTCTTCGGCTTTCAGTGTTCCTCTAAACAAGGTCACTTTATGGTCTTATAATTATTTATAGGTTCGCATTCCAATTGATTTGTAAATTAGATGTATTTCAAGATAATTATTCACAGACGTGTAATTAATCAGGTACACATAAATACGATTGTGCATCGTTGAATATAAACTCATTAAAAAAGATTCCTTCGCTGAAGAAATTATTTTCTGATTCAGTAGGTTTATTGATTGCAGATTGATTGGAGTGCTAAGATTTTAAACATTCTCTGGTATTCTTTGCATCGTCTCAGTTCAAGATATCCGAACTTATCCATAAATTTTCGAAAGAATTTCAACTTCACTAGAATTACAGATGTTTGAATATATAATCACGATAGCGAATTCTGGTGAAAATATTAAGTGAATTGTTTTCGTAGTCCTGAGTCAAAGTTTCTCACTATTTATCTATTGTAGACTTGGTGTTTGTTTATTGAGAGACGAGTACATTAGACCGGTAAATGTAACGGAAAGTCTCAGATATGAAATTGTACTCTGCTTAATTCAATTTTAAGAGTTTGAATCTTCTTGTTGTAAGTGTTCTGGCTTGTAATTGATCAGTCTATTTTGGCATATGGATATCCTGCGAGAATTGACTCCATAATTCCATTTTGTTGCAAGCTTTCAATAAATTGACGTAGTAGGATCTAGAACACGCATTTCGCCCTACTGGGGCTCGTAAGCTGGATATATCTCAGTCACTATGTTGACGTTCACTAAAAACGATACTCTATTTAGTTTAATTAGCATTAATAGTCGTATAATTTAGGGGTATTAGTAAAATGTAGTCTGTTTTTGCTTTTTATTTTATTTCTATTTTTTTGTCCAAGTGTTCACTCAACTCGGTAAAACATTTAAAAAATTGTTCCATCAAGTTTTAGGTACTTGGCTGAATACGTACTAAAAGTAGATTTTGTCCTAGTTGACACTCATTAACAAGTCATATTTTCAGTCTTGAAGGCACTCATTCTCCTTGTAAAATTAGGATCTTTACAGTCTGAGAAACTACCATTGAGTTGTTCAGGTCACGAATGACCTTCTGGAGGGCTGAAATATTTGTCTAGTCCTTTAATGATGATCGAATTCTACCGACCAACTTACGGATTCCCCTACCCGCCTAAATGACTCCACATCAGATGTCAGATTATTGGACACCCGAAAGAAAACCTCAAAGCTGTTTCATTAACTTATAAAATTGTAACTAAATTTACAGGTTACAACAATGTTAAAATAAAACTTAGTAGCATAAAACAGATGATTTTATCGTCTGTTATAAAACCTATTAATGAAATTAGTATCATGGAAGAGTTGTGAATCTAAATATGTACTTTGTTACAAATGTTAGTTACATACATGTACATTAAATACTTTTGTTTTGGTACACTATAGCACCAGTAACAAAAACAATATATGTTCATAAATTCGATTGTAATCTTTTCACATTGTATCATTGTAACTTGATAAACTCGATAGACTTTGATCACTCCGAAGGACAAGACAACTTAACAATAGTTGCCGCTCATTGATAGATTATTATATATATTTTATTACTCTATGAAGTTAGCTACAACATGAGTGTGTTCCAATAACAATATCTATGTATCAGATATTTGGTGTTATAAGTTCGAATTCTTCGGGAATCATTTGTTCCATCCAAATTTTATCTGTTCATCTTCCTAATGAATGTCAAATAAAAATTATATTTTGATTTGAAACTTCTGTATTGCTTCTACCAGCCAAATGTTTTAAGAAAAACAAACAAAAGATACCATTTTTTGGGATAACTCAACTCAATAGCCACATTCAAACTTGATCAACGGAATTCTATTGTGTACATCAACCAAACAAATCACCTACTGGCTTCGCAATCACTGATTACTGTAAATATTCAATTACTGCACAACCTGTACAAACAATATTTTGACAACTAACAAATATATAATCATAATTACTATCAAAATAAATTTAGTGAGATTTTCCCATTGATTGATTGCAACAACAACGATATCCCTAACACTTATTCGATCTGTCATAATTTGCTAATTCATTCATAATGATCAGTATTTGTAAATGGTACCGTTGTATTTACACTTTTGTACAATCTCTTTTTCATAATTTTCATATGCATTATTTTTGATTATCAGAATCGTGAACATGGACAACGTGTCAATATAATTATGGTTGCTGAAGGTGCTATCGATAGAGGATGTAACCCTATCACTTGTGAATTGGTGAAAAATTTAATAGTATCAGAACTTCAACTTGATACACGTATAACTGTTTTGGGTCATGTACAACGTGGTGGTTCACCATCAGCCTTTGATCGTATCTTAGGCAGTCGTATGGGAGCTGAAGCTGTTCTAGCCCTAATGGATGCTGATCGTGATCCTAATCTACCATCATGTGTCATTAGTTTAGATGGTAACCAAGCTGTTCGTGTGCCACTTGTGAAATGTGTTGAGAGAGTAAGTTGTTTATACCTGTAAAATGAAATAATTTACTCATATTTCAAGCATTTATTTATCACTATGATAGGGAGTTTGCATCACCGAGTAAAACCCTCTGCTAAAACATCAAAATTAAAGGCTCAGCTTGATAATAATTATATGATGATTAGTAAAAGTCTCTGAGATGGATCCTCGGAGTCTTGTTAGGAAGCTGGAACTTGGGAAGTTGAAACATGTTAAGCATCAGATATATATTACTCATGTCATTGAATAACGGTTGTATAACTAACACTTATAAATTGTATTCAGTGATAGGAATCATTAAATTACGACTCCTCACTCCATTCATAACGTGTGCACTATGAGAACCAGAAACTTCAAGTTTAAACCCTATTAATGTTTGGAATTAGCACCGTAAAGAAGTTCCGAATCAAGCTAGATAAGAGTATTGTTCACCTTGGCTTTCGATAGTTCTTTAGTTAATATAATGAGAATTAACTTCAGATTATTTGTTAATAAGTTGAAATAAAACTATAGTAATAGTTACTACTTATCTTAGTGCAGTGTTTATAATATCCGTTAAGTAAACTTGTATTCTGAAATAGTCCACTAAGTAAGTGCTAACTACTTGACAAACACATTTTTAGTAGAGCTAGATTGTGGGTAGCAGTGGAATCAAGAACGCTTTTTTCGTCCTATTTGGGACTCGTCACTTGAATTTACTTGTATTTCTTTGCTGATTTCTATTTAGAGACTCAAACTCGGTGCCGTTCGCTTCAAAAGCCTACAAGTTATCTACTTCATCCAGTAGCTCAGTAGATAATACGTTGGAGTTTGAAACGAAAGGTACTGGGCTCGAGCCTCAATCGTGGACGCCAACACTGGTATGCAAATGCATCTAGCTGACGAGTCCCAAAAAGAACGGAACATTCGTCTTAGATTCGATCACTAGCCATAAACGAACTTTACTAAAACTTGTTACCAAGGTCCCTATCGAGGCAATCCACTAAGAATGAACATATACCAACAGAGTCTGATCGAAACCAGTTCATAATGTTGGTACTATTAGAACTCAAACCCTCTCTCTTTATATATATATATGCATTCCTTAAAATGTTTCGTCTGTAATAGTACAGTTTGAAGCATCGTCTAGAATTTTTTTATTTAAATCATCCGAATATATGTCTTTATTAAAATTCGTTATATTGTATACTATATTGTCGTTGAATATATTTATGTCAACAAAGATAGTTATAAGGTGCCCAGTTATCTATCAGTTGGTATGCTTACAAAAGCGTCTAGATGTTTCAGTACACTCCGACTCAGCATTTCAGATAGAAAGTGTCTCACTGTTCAGTAGTTTAACTTATTTGTTGATTTTAGGTGGTGACCTAAATGAAATATATGTTTAGGATTTCCTTTTTGATATTTCATTTAAGTTAAAAATTCACAATGTATTTTAAGCATATGTATTTCGTTGTGGGCAAATCTTGTAAAGAATATTCTATTATTGACTGTAAGTATTCTTATTATAAATTATCTTCAGCTGAAAAACGTGATTGAAAACCACGAAACTTAAACATTTGAGTCGTTGAAACATATATTTCTAGGATACTGCCTGGCTTCAGCCATAAACCGATTCTTACCTCAGATTTTCATGCCTGTCTTTACTCTCTTTGTTTCCGTATCCGTTAATTTGATTTTTACTTTACTTTGTTTCTCTAAATAAAAGTCACCTTGAATTATATAAATTTTCCAAACAATCACTTCATTTAAATGTGATTAGGTCATATTGTCTTTCATTTTTTAGACACGTCAAGTTGCTGAAGCAATGAAAGCTCGTGATTTTGATCGTGCTGTTGAATTACGTGGAGCGTAAGTTTTATTTTTGTAATATGGTTAGAATTTTTAAAAATCAGATATATTTAGGTCATTATTAATAAGTTCCATTCAACTTACCTCATCATTTTCAACAGGTGTTACTCTTTGTTAAACAACCACTGATTATGAGGAAGCATCAAACGATTGTATCACTGAAGTATGGAGCCTACTAACAGCGAATATTATGAGCACACCGAAGATCGAATCTAAGACTTTTAAGTTTCTTGATGAGAGCCTAACCGTTAGATTGTTTAACTGTCACCTATTGATTTACATTTCTTATTTCAATCAATTCGCAAAATTTTACAGTCACATTACAAGTCCATTGGTAAGTAGCTGTCTTACATCGTTCATAGTTGAATTTCACTGATCAAAACTTCTCATCAGAATTCCTCAACTTATCTCTTGAAATAATTTACCAAAATCTATGCACTATTAAACATCTACAGTCATAAAAGCCTTCATTCTTCAAAATTTGTTGTTACACATTAAATATTTCATGTTAATCGTGATTGTCAACATTCATACAGATAGTCTAATGATTATTTAATAATTATTTTCTAAATATTTAGATAATTTGTAACGCAAACATTAATCCTATATATATATATATATATATATATATATATATATATATATATATATATATATATATATATACCAGACGTTTTGGCATTTGTGTCAGTTATATCTTATTAGTTTCAGCTGATATATTTATGGTTCATCAAATCACCGTTACACACACATACATCTTTGATCTACTTACCGGTTTTTGTTTTGACTGTTTATCAAAAAATAGCGTCAGCCATATACTAGCTGTAAACTGTGTGATAGACTTGAAGAATTTAAATGTATATCAATATCATATTTTTCTCATTTAAAATAATCATTGATAGTCAGACAATCTATCAGTGATTGGATCCTGAATTACAAGTTGATTAAATGTGAACCTTTGTTTTGTTTGAAAAGTACATTAGAAACAGCTTATTAGTTATTATTGAGATCATGAACCGATCAATGTTATACCAACACTGAAAACCTGGAAGCATTGGACGGCCGTTTCTCCCTAGTATAGGACTCTTCTATGGTTGGTATCCACGATCCTGCACATGGGACTCGAACCAAGTACATTCAGTTCCACACGTGAACGAATAACCCCTGGACCATTGAGTCGGCATTCGACGGTGTTAATGTTTAGCTTCAATTGATCCATGATCTTGAGTTTAGGCGTCCGGAAGTGGGACCGAATGTCCTAGGTTCGAGTCCCGTGTAAGGGGTCGTGGATGCGTATCGCTGAGGGAATCTATACTGGGACAAAACTGCCATCCAGTGCTTTCATATTTTCATTGATGATCTAACTTTGATCGGTTCATAAATTCAATTACTGAAATAGAATTATTTAAATTAACATTGACTCTCACATTTAAGTGTCCTTTTGAATATCTTATTATCTTTAAACAATAAAAAAGAACACTGAAATCATTTGTTCATATAATATTCATTAAATAGATGATGTAAATTTTAAGAAAATTATTTACAATACGTCAGATTCAATAAAATTTATTTATTAATAAAATTCCAATGAATTATTTATTCATAAATCTATCCATGGGCCCATACATATTGAACTAACGGATAATTTATTAGACAAGACCACTCAAAATTGTTTAACAAAAGTGAATAAATCAAATGACAGTCTATCATATTGTTTTATAAAGTGGATTTAAGGACACTATTTGTTCATATATATAACAATGATATTTAAAAATATCAATATTCAAAATATACCATGAACCTATTCCTTTCAAGACGAAACTGTCTAATATAAATCGATATACTCATAATAAGATCTTTGGTGTTTGAAGGTGGACGTCGAACATCCTTAGACCTAGTTTTTTTTTACTAGTTGAAACTGTATTATTAAAGACATATGTGCAGTCTTAGGAGAACTAATACTCCACACAAGATCCGAACTCATTCCACTTAGTGCTTAGAAATTAAGTATTACAGTTGAAAAGAAGGCAAAACTAAAAAAGACTGATAATCCAGGATACTCCAGTCTTCTTCCACTTAACTGAGTCCTATATTTTGATGGAAAACCGCAAGCGCATCTAAATTCCTACTTGTATCCAAACTGATGTATGTTTAATAGTTCCAAATAAAATAGTAGCTTAACCATTCTTTTAAAAAAGAGGGAATTAGCATGTGTTAACAGAAAACATTATTTTGAAAATTGAGGTTATTTTAGTACAGAAGGTTTCTTGAGATTATCGAGACTGAATTTGGTTAGACAATTATTGAAAACGGGGAAACACTATGCAAGTATGGAGCTCCTTAGTGTTCATCGACGACTCCACCGGCTGCCGAACTGAGGGACTTTGGCTACTCACTAATAACTAGAGCCGTAATGAGAGGTTATGACTAGTAAACCTCAACCATGTAAAATGGGAGACAGTTACTCATCAAAAGAATTTTGAAAAGGGTTGTGCAAAATTATGGACTAAACGAAACCAGAAACGTATGCCAGCTTGGTAGTCAAAAGGTTAGGGGCTCACTGCTAGCTTTTAAGATCTTGTGTCCGATTCCTGGTGACCTGGTGGATGTGAATTGTTCAGGAGCATCATACTAAGACGAAAGAGCTATCGGCTGCTTCTTAGTTTTCATTGGTTACCTAACTAAGCCCAGTCATTAGTACAAACTACTGGATTATTTTGTCTTTGTTTTCTGTATTTATAGCGTAATAATAATAAGGAGGGATTTACTGAAAGAGATAATCATATAGAGATATACATTGGACATAAGTATGCCTCTTGAATAGCATGTAAGCATATCATCATGTTACAGTCATTAAGAATGATAAATTCCATCATTTATCCCACTTAATATAATATGTAGACGACTGATTTAGCAGAGAAGCCGTGTCGTCCTATTTTATTTATTTTCAAATTAGCAATTATAGAATGATAGATTTTAACCACATCGTTTTTCAAACGTTAGTCTATTCACTGTGTCGCTCAATTACCAAACAATTACTTTCGAATAGTCAATCAGATTATTCTGTATGGACAAACTTTCTTTTGTCTTTTACTGTCTTCCTAAAATGTGAATAATTTCAGCGGTTGGTTTTCATATGATAAATGTTTCTCTGGAATAATAAGTATTAGAGTATAGCTTAAGAAGATAAGTAATGGTATTAATATCAGGTTTCAAGAGATGAATTTCACTATGTTTCACAACGTTTAGACTATCAGTCTTTTAGCGTAGTTTGTATATTTTTTTTTCGGTTAATACAATAAAATGTTTTTGTCTACCTTATCACGCAATTTCAACGAAACTTATTCCATGTTATGATCTAAGCGTATATGAGAAATAGGCGTATGAGTACTAACCAGTAGATTTCAGTAATCATGAGAACAGTAGCGATGAATTCACTAAACTCACTGATGAAAACAGACAGTATGGCTGGTGTACAGTCAAAAGTTATATTTTAGAATCTTACCATTAATAAAACTTTACTTGGTAAAATGCTCAATACTCTTTTAAAGTTAGAAAATTAATACAGTTATTGATGGTTTGAAGTGAATTTCAATTTATACAATGCATAGACAAATGTAAACATAATTCCCTTTTTATGGAGCATTACTAAAATGGCTCAGTGGCGTTCAATTAATCAAAACCATTATGAAATGTAATTACACTACATTTTCAACATAGATTTATACATAAAAATGAATGAAATCAACGTATTTTTTCTGTCAGTGATCTAAAACTTAAAATCAGTATTCAAAACACAACGGACAGACTTTCATTAATTTTACTTATTATCAAGGTGTCTCCATTTGACGTTTATACCTTCAAACAGTTTGTAAAGTTTTCACATAAATACATATATTTTGTTAGTGGAAATTCTTGCTTAATCATAACTAACTGACAGACTTTCCTCTTCTGAATTAACATTTTTAATTTATAACTTACCAAATACATGCATACGTGCTTAACTTTCATGTAATTTCTTAATGATAACAAAAGGTTGTACCGATGAACTGAAGTTAAGTAAGGTTCAAATTTACCACTGACTTATTGAATGTCTAATACTCTGAATACGAAACCTTGCAACACCACTTTACTGGTTAATTTCAATTATATGTGAAATCTTTATCAGTGCGCATCCACGATCCCGCTTGCGGGGTTCGAACCCAGTACCTTTAGTCTCGCGCGCGAACGCTTAACCTACTTGACCACTGAGCTGGCATCCAACGGTCTAACCTCAACCAATCCACGAAATTGCGCGACGATCTTCCATTGTCTGAGGTAGATGCTGTCTCTACCCGAACCAGAATAACTCCACTGGTCACGGCTTCTCACTAGAACTCCGAGAATTCCCTCACGAAGTTAGTCACTAGTTAGTAAAGTATTATAAATGAATTAGTTGATTGATAAAGATTTATCAGTATAGGGTTTTGGAGGTTATTAAGTTATTGATTGAGATCTTGAACCAATTGGTGTTAGACCATCATTGAAAACCTGGAAGCACTAGATGGCCGTTTCGTCCTATTGTGGAACGAAGGCCCTGGTTTCGAATCACGCGAGCGGGATCGTGCATTCGCACTGCTGAGGAGTCTAGTGCTTCCAAGTTTTCAATGGTAGTCTAACATCAATCGGTTCAAGATCTCAATCAAAAACTTAATAATCCCCACAACCCTATACTGATAAATCTTTACCAATCAACTAATTCATTTATAATACTTTACTAACTATACAGTGTTAAGATTATTTTGATTCCATGAATAAAAGTAGATTAACTGATCATATGTTAAATTAAAATATAAATTTTTTATGAAAAACAAAATAATTTATATGTCAATTAAAACTCAATTTTAATTGAGCTATACATTATATGTATATTGTTTAACAGTACTATGATGAAACATAAATAATACGATGTATAGTTGTATGATGTAATCATCTATAAATTACGTGAAAATATGTACCTC